GAAACGTCCAGTCGGAAAGAGGGGGAGGGATGAAGACGAGGAGGAAGAGGGAAGGGGAGGTGGGGAGGAGAAAGGAGGAGGAGGGAGGAGGCAGTAGAATTATGGATAGAAAGAGGGAGGAGGAAGGTGGGAGGAAGACGGGAGGAAGAGGGGGAGGAGAAAGGAGGAGGGAGTGAAGGAGGTCGAGGAGGAAGGAGGAGGAGTATGGAGGAGGACGAAGAGCTAGAGATGAGGAAGAAGGAGGGAGAAGGGAGGTGGGGAGGAGAAAGAAGGAGGAGAAAATGAGGAGGGAGAAGGAGGGAAGGGGGAGGAGGGGCATACCGTCCCCTCAGCACCCTCAGTTACAATCTAAAACGAGCGTGTTGGTTAATAGACATTCAGATAGGGTGCGCTCGCGGACAAAAGAACTTTGATCCTCCTTGAACTTGACCTCTCTTAGGAACGTCATCCGTAGTCCTGCCAAACAGTATTTGTCTGTGTTCTTTACTGTAAAGACCCACAAGTATGTAGTTCCCTTCAGGAGCATAATTTCGGAAATTGGCTGTTGGCAAAAACATCTGGGTCGTTATCTACAAAAAAAATCTGTCTAATATCATCATCCCTGAGCCTTTCAGGGTCCAAAACTCCTTTGAATTAAACTCCGCTTCAATCTGCCCCATTGTAGTTTCATTCCGCACTCAAGTATGTATTTCGACATTGAAGATATGTATTACAGCCTAGAACCAAAACTAATCTTAGATTATGTGACTAATGCGATCCATGAACACAGAATTTGGACTTTCAAAATTCCTCCGGTGTTTCGGATGAGGGCTTATCGACTTGATAAATATTTACTTGCAGTCCAATTTAGTATAATAGGAAGGAAATATTTACAGACCATAGAAGGGAGTTTGTATAAACTCTAGCCTTGCACTTCTCCCTAGTGAAATATTTCTTCCTTTTGTTGGCAGGGCTATCAACGATCAGTTGGACAAGCCCTTCCAGGGTTTCCTAGTGTTTGGGTACGTTGATGATTACTTGGTCATTTATCCAGGCACTGTGACCGCTGACAGCCTCTTTGAACTTTTCAGTCAGTGTGGCGGGACTGACTTTTAGCCGGTACACTCCTTTAACGGAAAAATTGCAATTCCTGGATTTACAATTACATCCTCATTCCTCACGTTTTGTTGGGCCTTGCAGCAGAAGTCGAAAAAGCCAGTCCTCTCTTTAACCAGTGCTCACTCCAAGTCAGTTAAGCATGGCATAGTAAGGTCATTTTTCAACTCCTCATTCTCCAAGTCGTCCACGCATTTCTCTGAAAGTAGCCTCAAGTTGAAGCAGCAGAGATTGGAAAAAGCAGGCTTTCCTGCTGACCGACCTCGTTCCACTCTTGACAGGTTTATTCTCAGACCACAACTTTGGCAATCTGTTTCCAAAAAGAAAGCTCGTTTCGCTGTGCTTCCCTACACGCACAATTCCGCGCACCGTTTAAGATCTATCGCGTCCAAGCTCGACACCAGTGTTGTTTTTTCCTGTCGTATGCGCCTAAAACAGATGTATAAAAATGTTAATGGAGTGACAGTCCCAGAAGGTGCAATGTAATGCATGCCAAAAGGTTCGTAGAATGCGAAGAAAGAAAGGTTTATTCAATTCCACTAAGCTGTGGCTGTCAAAACATTGGACAAACCGGGTGATGCATCAACCAGCGACTCAGAGAACACAACTCGGAAGCATCAAAGGCTTCAAATGAATCGTATCACACAATTGTCGTTCACTGCTGCACGTGCGATGACTGTACTCCGTATTTCTCTGCTACTAGAATACTGGGCGGGCACAACAACAGATCTGGAAGAGAAATCCTTGAATCACTTGCCATGGGGACTGTAAACAACAACGTTTCTGCACCTTCATTATCATTGACAAAGTCAGAGGTCGAATTCCTAACACCAGAGATGACTAGATTACTGACACCTCGTCGTGACGCTAGAGCATTTTAAAATTTTATATTTATTGCACATTTTTCTTTCCTTTTGGGATTGTAGAGAACAATATTTCTGCACCTTCATTATCATTGACAATGACAATGGTCCAATTCTAAGTAATCAAAAATAACTAGGTTCGAGATACCTCGTCGTGACGCCAGCGCTTTTTAAGATTTTATATTTACGGTAAATTCCCATTCCTTTAAAAAAAATTACCTCATTTCCCTCTTTCAGAACGTTGAAACCTTTTGGGTGGGGGGAAGGGGCGGGGGGGGGGGGGGGGGTTTATCGTTGTGCCATTCTACGTTGTTGCAAAATGAAAGATGTCCCTTTCCGGTCCGCGTACTCGCTGTTTCATACTTTAAAGTTTTGTATCAGCACCCTCCCCTCCTCCTCCTCAAGAGCTGCGCTCTAATTCGGCGTTACAGGAAGTTGTAAATGCCTTTCCTTTTTTGTTGTTGTTTTCACAATTCTTCTAATCCCTTAAGCAGGCTCTGAAAGGTGTTTTGCAACAATATAATAAAAGTAATCAGAAGGAACGATGAACGGCCCAAAGAACTAAACGAAACTAATAAACTCAATATATAATTAATTTAAACGAGAAGCGCAACAAATATTTGTTTGACTTCGGCTTAACTGTACTATAACACAAGAAAGTACATTCCACGCGTCCACCATTTCAAGGAATAATGAAAATTTAAAACCAATATAACGATATGCACCAAAAATATGAAAGAAATCTTTGCCGTCGTCACGCCGAATACCCTTGCAAAAATTGGACGTAATTATCGAGATTCATTAATTAATGCAGACGTATATTTGGTCGCACAAATTTAAGTCTGAAAGATCGATTTCTTTTTGGTCAGTAATAAAATACCAGCTCTCTGGGCTAGATAAGTAACGAATGTCACCTCTTACGTTCAAAATATAAACGTAAATCCGAAGTCACGCTGCTTGTACACAAAAAAAAAAAAAAAAATACAGGCTGCAGAGATATTCGAACGAGATTCACCGCGAGATCCGTGCTTCCAATGCCGAGTGGCACTGAGTTCAGGGAGGAACCTTGGGCTCACGGCATTCGAATTACGGACATTGAAGTGACGCGTGTTTGCAAACTCTCTTTATATGATGTATGAGCAGTGTGACCCCGGTTTACGGATTTTTGTAGCCTTCTCTAAAATCGTAGGGTGTGATTTATAAAAAAACTTCCAAATTACGTTTTTTTATTCTATTATTGACCTAATAACTGTTTTATAAGCTATGTATAGAATGTCCCAAGCCACGAAACTCGGACTAAAATGGACAGTAAAAATCGGTGCCTGCACAAACCAATCTAAACTTTTCGTCAACGTTGCATTTTACAGGTCGGATTTTTCATGTAAAATTAAAAATCGTAGCCCCCTTTTTGTAAAAAAATAGGGCCGAGAAACTTGCCCTGGTCAAAGGAGAACGCCGACGCAGATCACCGAATCGAGTTGCGGGGCGCGTTCGGCGCGCGTAATGACAGATGGAGTAGGGAGCAGCGTCGGAAGGTGTAGCCAAAGTTACTAGATTACCTCAGTTGTAGAACTCCCGCGAAAGATGCTGCCCCCCCCCCCCCCCCCCCCCACTCACTTTAGTCCGCCTCCCGTCGTTGGAAGCGCCATCTAGAGTTTCGTTTACGAACTGTGTGCTCCATATAGAGTACGGCGGCAAGCCATCAAGACGCTGCGCTATGAAAAGTACATATCCCATAGAATACACTGCATTTACCAAAGCAGACCTCCGGTGCGCCGAACGAAGGGAGGCGAGTCGTGGTGAGAGAGGGTGGTACTGCTCGTGCATGCAGCGTAAATGAGCAATTCCGTAGCTAAACTAAACTAAAAACGTTGGGTGAAGCCGACGAGCGAAAGAGAGCCGACGACACGCAGGCGACGTCGTTGGCAGCAAAAACACCGTCGTTATGCAGCACGTTTTTTTAAACTTTGTTTTGTTTTTATTGTCCGCATTAACTCTTAAACCAAAGGTACTTTAAAAAGAAAACTATGTTCATTTTAATAAACCACGGTGGTTGCGAGCAGTTTTGATAAGGAGCTAGCGCCATCTATTAATACGAGCGCCAAACGCGTCCCTCAAGTCGACTTCGTCGTCTGCGTCGCAGTCCGCCGTTGACTCTGGGAAGTTTCTTGGCCCTATATTTTACAGAAAGAGAGCTACGCGTTCTAAGTTTACCAAAATAAAAATCTGACCTGTGTAATACACCTTTGACAAAAAGTTTAGATTGCTACATGCAGGCGTCGATTTTTACTGTCTATTTTAGCTCGAGCATGGTGACATGAGACATCCTATATATAGTCAATGACGGCTCAAAAACGCCAAGCGTGCGACTTAATACACTCACTATTCTCGCTTTGTGGTTCCTTCGTGGGCGATGTTATCAGAAAATCCCGAAATCGAATCGGATTCTGAGCGATAATAAGACTATTGGGTCCGGCCACGGATTGTGTTGCCTAAGACGTCAGTGTCTATAGTTGGCCACGTCGTATCTCGTTTTCTTGTTTCTTATCATAAACTACCCACACCACTGCAAGCCGGGGTGCAATAAAAAGTAGGTGATTGTCTTGATCTGGAATACGCCCATCCGCCCACACAGCTACAGTTTTTCTTCTTAATCGCGTCAGTTAAATATTGGGTTTATTTCCACGACGCGTACAGCGAAATGTGACTTTGTCGTTTATGTCGCTTAAATGCTGTTACATGCGTTAGTGTCTGCAGCAACCACAGACACCAAAGCGACGAGGGCGTCGGTAAAAATGAAATTCATAATTTCTTTTTTTTTTTTTGTATTCTGTTGCGTATGGCGAACATCTGTTCCATTGATATTGTGAGGTCGCTCCTGACTCAACCAACGGCGCTCTCTAAAGAATGCTTTTCTCTTAGCAGAGTCTTGTCAAACACGTCAGCTATCATCCGGTACAGCTGTATTTTAAAAAGACAGAAAACAATACAAACTTCCTATATAACTTAGGCAGTGTTCAGTCGATCTCAAAGCAGCAGCGAATGTGGATAGCCTCCTCTGCAATGGGCCCGCAGTACGCTGTGTCGTTGGCGTGCGTCGTCGCGACCATGATGTGGCCTACGACGGAGGGCCGGTGGGAACCCGGCTTTCCCTGGACGAGGAAGATGAGCATAAAAAACCCAGAAAACAACCCTACATTCAACTACGAAAAACTTGGGCCCTTGCAAGATGCATGGCAGGTATGTGATTAAGAAATACAGGGCGTTTTTTTGAAGGACTTACAGATATGTTTTAAAAAAAGACATGAAAGCTACACTAATGCGGTCTTTACATGTCAGTTGTACGGTCGATAGGAAGTATTATATAGGTCGATAATTATCACGATAAATCATTTATTTAACAAAAATAGGTTGATAAACTTTTTAATGATTCAACATAAATATATGATTCCAATCAAAGATCCTCTGAATGTCATCGAACGACGAAAAACACTAAATGAGTAAATATTAGAAATGCTTGGAGCGGGTAGGAAGCTCGGGAGTGCACTAAAGTTTCAATCATTGGGGTCCTCTGGAGGCGACATGACTCCAAGAGAGGTGAATCCGGGAGAAACTTCCGGTTTAGAAGGACACGCCCCAACATTGCTTCTTTTCCGTCCTCCTTCCGTCCTCCTTTCCGTCCAAAAGCCCCCACAAGGGGCTAATGGACGGAAAGGAGGACTGATTTGGGGCCAGCAGCGGCCTAGAGTGGCTTTGGTCTCCCTTGGGGGCGTTCCACCGGCCGCGTCTTCAACTTCCGGCTTCACTTGGTACTATAGAGTTTTAGCAGATCGTTTTTTCACCCCGATTAAGACACCTCCTCTCCCCTCCGGCGGCCTTGGGCATGCATCGCATCGCTATCGGGTGTCATTATCCGGGCGAAAAAACGATGTGCTAAAACTTTCTATTTCATTGCTTTGTCGAACCTCTATGTCGCCTCCTCTTCTTCCTACCTCAATGGTTACAACAGACCGATCTCACAAACGGCGCAATTTCACTGGCGGTTAAGTTCCGTTTGCGAAGCGGCTGCGAATACGGTTCCGAGCGACCGCGTTCAGACACACCGAGACGCGGTTGGCGGTTTCTCGACGATCACACGTGATATTTCGAGACTTGCGTTGGACAATTTGGTTTTCCAACTCAAAATCCAGGGAAAATATAAGAAGGGTGCAGAAGAGCTGGTGATTATCGACCATGTTAAACTGACCTGGGGAAAGGAAGAAACGTCAAAATGTAGAAAGACAGAAAATAGGACAACGTCATTGAGATGAGTTGGAGACGTCGTCCTGTTTTTTTTTTCTGTCTCTTCTACGTTCCGACGTTTCTTCTCTACCCCAGCCTCAGGTTAATTCAGCATGGCCAAAGTCCACTTCAATCCAAGATCCAAAGCCAAACTAGAGCTATTTTGGCACTCTAAAGATTTTTCTTCGGGTGGTCGTTCTTCGCACGCATTACGAGTTTCGGGCAGCGAAAACGAGACATAGACCTACAAAACCCGGCGGCGATTTTCCCGACTTCGTAGACAAGCAAAGCCCAGCCAGACATGGGCGCGCCTTGCTGACTCAGCACAGAACGGCACGACTCTTTCTTCGAAGTGGCCCTTTCCGTATAAAGAGCTGACCCTGTTATTGAAATAGAGGCCCAGTTTTTCCACCGCATTATTCGCTCTTATCATTTCCGGAGCTGTGAGTGGCACTGGTGAACCGTCCTGCGGGGGAATGTGTTTGGTGCTAGTCGGTCGTGGCTTCGTTGTGGCGGACTCTCGTCTCGTCACTCGCACGCCGATCGAGAGTACTTGTTTGACATTAAGCTCGAATAAATGCCATACGGATTTCTTATACATCGTCATGCAAGTACATTTTATTTCTTGAGTTGGGGCCCCTTATTTCTTTTGGTAGTAGTAAACGTTACAGGTCGAGCTAGCGCAGGTACCTTGCCCGATCCGCGTTAATGCGTTGGCTACGCTAATGGGCTCACGACGTCTTCGCAAATGGGCTCACGACACCTTTGGGGTGGACATGCACTGTGTCGAAAGCTTTCAGTAAATCACGCGACTGTCTTAGTGGTCGCAAAAGCTGCCACTTTGATCGATCGGGGGCGGGTTTCGATCTTCTACGGGCAAAGACTAACAAGGCATAGAACGAAAACTTTGACACCTTGAATAAAAAATGAAAAAAAACAAAAACTCTTGCCTATATTTAATCACCAGAGCGAAGACCCTTACGTTTACGAGTCAATTCTTTTCGCGGCGGATTCAAGTGACGGACGGGTTTGGTTTGCCCCCCACTCAAAACCAAGTTGGCATGCCACTGACTCTTTCCTTCTTACGCAAGAGGGAAAGCCGGCGTAACGAGCGAAAGAACAAAGCGAAAGAGCACGACGGGAACCGCGCATCGGCCTCAAGAGCCAGTCCAGTCCGGTCCAAACCACTCCGTCCCAACCAAAGACGGCCCCATGCATAAGGACGCAATTAAGAAAAAGTAAGACCCAGGAAAAAGAAAAGGCGAGTGGTTTTTTTCATCGCGGATGTGCGGACCAGAACAGGCGCGACACGTGCGAGCAATTTCCTGTGTTAAGCAGACCGTTCCCTGTCGCCCAGAGACAAGATTATTTGCTGCACGTGCCACCAGCTTAGCACTCACCGGAGGAAGCCGCACGCCCCCCCCCCCCCCCCTCCCCCCGTTTTATGCAAGACCGATAACCATTTCTTGTACACAAGATCGCCCATATAACTGACATAGACACCCGTAATAGACGCAAAATAAAAGACCACGAAGTAAAAAAAAAAAAAAAATCTCCCATTATCGCTCGAGCATTTTCTGAACTACCATATTATTTTCTTACCACAAAAGAAGAAACAAACAACAAAAGTTTAGACTAGGAGTAAGCATAATCGAAGGCGCGCTAGACACTCAGTAACTCTCATCGCCTAGAAACATGAGATGGCCGAACGCAAATTAAATTTTGGGTCATACATTTTAGAACTACGGAAAAATCGTACCTTTTTTTGTGCGTCCTGGAGATGTTTAAGATTCGCTGCGTCCGTGCAGAATTTTTTTTTTTATATATCACATATTTATGTTGTACGGCCACACAAATACGCGCTTGTCAGTAATGCATTGACCCCTCCACATTTAAGTTGTAATCCTGTTGAAACCAGTGTAAGATATACAGATGATCCATTTGCTCCTTACTTTGTGCATGTGCGTTACTTCGCTGTGATATAGAGTGGAGCAATGTCTGATTTTTACTATCGACAGTGTAAGAATGCTTAAACCTGAGTGAGTGACCTTTTTATTTGGCCCTACAATGCGTATTCTAGTAATAATGGGAGAAATAATGACATGTTTTGTTTCGATGTTTGCAGGTCCTGGAAGAAACATCGAAAAATACGTACTTCCTGATGTTTCGCACCCGAATCCTTTATTCTACGATATGTTTCCACGCAACAGCAAATATCACAGACAAAACGGACAAAACCGCCAATTACAGAATCACAGCCTACAATCGAAGACAAAAAATATAGTAAGTAGTTTACTAATCTTATTAATACTACTACTACTACTACTAATAATAACAATAATCAAGAATCAAGAATCGACTTTATTTGGTGCCTAGAAACGACCCTCCGGTTTTAGTACTAGCACACCCAAACACTTTTTATACCTAACACACATAAAGTTGTAAATGCAAAACCCCCCAAAAAATTAGGACAAGACATAAACATTTTATAATGAGGTAAAGTTGCACATCGGAAATACGATCAATGAAGAGATATATGCCTAAAAAGACAGCGAGACCTTTATATTCAGCGGAATTAAGGAACAGCAGCAACGACAAGTTTCGACGAAAGTATTATTTGGAGTCAGACGCAAGTATTAAAAAAAAAAAGTCTACTTCCACAAAAGATATCCAGGTGACTCTCAAGACCATATTAGGACTTTCTCAGACGAAACACTGGATTGTCTACACAGAATGAGAGATCCGCTTTTTCACGGCGTTGATGTAAACTAGGCAAATGTAGGGCACTTATTAAACAATCATGCCTTTACAAACATAAGTTATCGCGAAAGTACAATACCTACGTCTATAGATTGACAGGGATTTATTTTGAACTCGCTCTAGCATGAAGTAATTAGTGCTGGGACAGATGCTGTTCCAGACCACCGAGGTGTATTCCAGATGAGATCAAGCCAACGCGCAGTGCAGAACAAAGAACGCTTTTCGAAAATACTCTATAGACTTCCTACCGGCAACACCCAGAGTACGCAAGGCGGACATTTTCATGTGATCTATATGTGCGTCAAAGCGGAGAGAAAAAAGCAAATACCACACCAAGGTTTCCCACTTCACTAGCGCGACTTAGAACCTTTGAGTGAATACTGTAGGGAAAACATGTGCCGTGCGCTCTTCTCGTGTAGGACATTACTTTAGTTTTACCCTTATTTAAGATGAGGTTATTAGTCATACGCCAATAATAGAATGTACAGGCATACTCCTGAAGCATACTGGAATCACTGGCACTGCGAATTTCACAAAATATCTTAATATCATATGCCTATTGCAAAACTAAACAATTAGAAATAAATGAAAAACTGTCTCGTCTGTTTGTCTTTAATGTCCCTCTTTCCTTATCGTAAATTAATAACAAACACGCTCAACCATCTACATTAGACACGTCATTGAAAAAAATAGATAAAATAGAGGCCCTAGCACCGACCTCTAAGGGGCCCCGGAAGTGACACCATATCTCAAAGAGTATTTGCCGTTTATAAATATAATTCTAATATCTGTGATTAGTATTATTACAAACGTAAAGTTATAATTATATTATGAAATATAATTATAATAATATTCATTGCCAGGGGCTGACGGCTTAGGTAAATCCTATATTGGCTTTTGGGATCCCACCCGGGAAGTCACCAAAAAACAAGCCAGCAATAAAACAAAACAAATCAAATACCACACGTTAAATAAAGATCAATAATAACACTGAGTCCAAGGCTGATTCAAAGAAAAATTCAACATCAATAAAAACATTGAATTCAAGGCTGATTCAGAACCGGAAATCAAACGAACACTATGTCCATCATAGAGCAGCAGAGCCCTTTTTTGGTTTTGTCCTCGAATCTAAGAGGAAGGCAGGCGCTGGGAGCTGATTGAAAATATCTGGAACAGAGTAAGCTCCAGTTCCCATCCCATACCTCGTGAAACAGCGAGGACGCTTAAAACGGGCGGCCTGTCTTAAAGTGCGGGACGGTTCATACGAAACGAGAGTTCTACGTTCAAAAATACTGGAGTACGACTGCTTTCTGGAATGAGCAATACAAATTTGACATTTCGATATCGCTGAGAATAATCGTGCTTTTAGAGAAAACTGAAATATATGGCACACTTTTCAAAATGCATTAGAGAATATTGTTTACCTCGGCATGCCGCAGCCTTGCACCGTGAGCAAACACAGTCACCCCGTACCTGACTACACTGTACGCCAAGGCACGAACTAGAATCTTTGAGACGCCAAAGGAAACAAAAAGTATAATATTATGTAACAGAAAGGATACGTTCAGCAAGGCACGACATTTGTGGGCCATGTGCTCATTCCAGTATATGTGTTCATAGATAAGCCCTGCGTACATTGAGTTACCGACCCATTGAGTACGATCACAAATACTTGACATATTTTACACCAAACAAAAAAAAGGTCGTGTCTATGAAAACCAAATTTAGAGGATTACGGAAGCCCAACAACTTAGCTCTAGCCGAATTCGCCTTCAAATGATTACATGCCTATGCCTATGCTTAACCTTATTGACATTAGTTTCCAAATTATTAACGGCGCTGTCGAGATTTATATGCCAAAAAACCAACAATGTGTCGTCAGCGTTTTGATAACACAAACATCAAGAAGTGAGAGAAACAAGATCGTCGACATAAAAGTTATACTTCGTTTTACCATATGTCCATACACAGCCGACGTTACCAGCTGATGGCACAATCCAGACAGCGTTAAAAAGATAGCATCCAGATGTTCGTCGTGTTCATGTACGTGTTCTATTGTTTCTGAAGCAATCACAAACAAAAAAGGCTCCTCCTGGTCCCCTTAGCTCGTAGCGTCGGCTGCGCCCGAACTGAAGCTGAAACGAAGTATAAACAAAAGGGGCGATGGCGCAGAACACTGCGGAACCGCCGCTTGCAGAAAACAAAGGTTATTCACTTCCCGACGCACTTGCACACGCGTGATAGTCCAGATAGCATATCTGACACTAATGAATAAAAGGGTCCCCAGAACTCGAACTTATAATTTACGCAGCGGAATAGAGTGATTGACGTTACCAAAGGCTTTCGAGACGCCCAAACACACAATAATCTTCGACGTTAACTAAGAACAGCAGCGTACACTTCGCAGTTACAGAACCGCATTACGATTCTGATATCATGGGGTGGATGTACAAAAATCTAGTCATTACTGAAAGTAGGTTGCTTTTCTAAACTGTGCCCCAAGACAGGCAATATTGATATGGGGCGGTAATTCTCCCCTCAAAGTTTGTATATCGCCCTGAAAAATATGTCACTTTCAACTATTTCGTATACTCACGTGCCCCTATGAAGCCGTTAAGCGTAACAAAAAAAACATGGTTTAAAGACGCAAGTATTCTTTCGAGAAAACGAACGGTAATTCCATCGGCTTCATGTGATGTAGTCCATTTCATACTAAACAGAGCCGACTGGACACCTTCATCCCGATCATAAAGATAGCAGAAGGGCAATTTTCACCTTTCAAGGATACTTCCTGAATATTGCCACTCTATAATTTGTCTGAAGAGGTAGCAAAGAAAAAAAAACTAAAAAACGTTATGCTTTTTGAGTTTTCTTACTAATGTCGGGCAAAATTCTTGTATATGTCGTCATCAATTGAGCGCTAACTGTGGTGGCCTGTGAGACTTTTGGCAAATGATAAAGTTGGTGAAATAATAAAACGACTTTCTGATAACTTTTTAAAATAGAGCAGTTTAGCGAATCGTACAAGGGCATTGACCTTGTTCCTCGCAGCACAAAATTCGCCGAGCTGTGCTATGCTTTTAGCAGCTCGCATACAACACACCCAAAACCTTTTTTTTTTTTTTTTATCAGCAATGGCAGCTAAAATATGTGCAATTGACCAAACACAAATTCACCCCCGTTTTCATACTTTATTTTTATTAAAACCTGGCGCAATGCTTATGCGTTCAAAGAGTCGTGGACTGTAACAAGTGTTGGGTAAACATCAGAGTGGGATACCCCTTGGAGAGCGCACTTGACGGCAGTTCGAAAGTTGCTCATAAGCAATGTTGGCGGTAAGTAGTTATCTGTAACGGTGTTACCGGTAATGTGTTACTTTTATTGGTAACTTCGCATCGTACTCGTTAGTTATTGAAAAGAGTACTTACGTTACTTATTCCGACTAACGGGAACAGTAACCTTACTCGTTAAGTATCTTCCCAAGACTTGTGCAAAATTATACTCTAGTATTTTCGTGTTTCTATAAGCACTAAACCGTTTAAATTTGCTCGATTTTTTTGCGTTTTTGGCGTTTCTTTTTGTGAGTATTTATGTGTAACCATAAAAAAGATATGGTCATCATATTGAATTTATGGACTGACGTAATATTTCTTGCTTACACATATGCATATGCATACCTGTAACGTAAAAAGAGTAAGACGCGTTAATTCATATTTAAAAAAAAAATTACCCTAAACTAACGTTCGTCACTTCTTATAATTAACGGTAACGGTTACGTGCTATTTTTATTTTGAAGTAACGTAGGTCGGCAACGCGTTTCTTTCATTGCGAGTAACGTACTCCGTTACTTATTTTCGGTAACGCCTATAACACTGCTCATAAGCCCGCTCTGTGGCCCCGGTGACTGCATCTGGAGGGCGTCCGCATGGTGGTCCCCAGCGCTCCCGCGCAATAGCTTGAACTTTCGGACGCCCCAGTTCGGTTAAGGCAGGCCGGCGACTGATAGAGGGACGGTGTGGAGCGCACTCTGAAGCTGTTCAAACGGGTGTCACACGGCTGCCGATGACTGCGATGCGACCCTCTTGAAAGCCCGCCTGCGCGCTCACAGGCGACGACCGTCACTGTCTTTGGCTCGCCCCTCGGTGGCTGGTCCGTCGTCCGCAATGTCCACAAAAAGACTCTCGCTGAAGGCGCCGACAGGCGGCAACACCGCCGTAGAGTGTAGTTGGGGAAGCGCGCGCTGAAAGGCGACGAATCGTATTTGAAACGGCAAAAGCTTCTAGAATTTTTAAGGCTTTTTCTTCATGATCGCTAAAGCGGCTGGTCTAGCGGGCAAATTGTTTTACCAGACACAAAGATTGTTTTGTGCAGTGTGTCGGTGTCAGACCGTTGAACAGAATCACAATGAGTAAGGTACAAACGGCAGAAAGAAGAAAACATTACGAACCAATTAAAAGCATGATATTACTGTCAGGCAGGCAAAAATAATCAATTTATTCGGCCGAACAATTAGCGCGTAATAGAGATTTCAATTTATTCGGCCGAACAATTAGCGCGTAATAAAGCTAGTATGGCCATGGTGGATGAAAAACGCCTTGTTGATATCCGACATCGCCTGGTGAGAGTTACGAAATACCAGAGGGAAAGCAAATTGGAGAAGGAAAGAAATCATGCTTTTGGTTCTTAACTTCTCGGCTAGATGGCGCCAGCCCCCGCCCGATACGAAGGGAACAGCCGCTAGCATTCATCCATCCATCTTGTTTGGCAACCAGTCTGGAAACCGTGGAAACGCCTCAGCAGTGCTTGACCATCACTCGATCGGTCCACATCAGCAGCAAGATGGCGGCGCCCAGAGGCCGTACTTGCAAACGTCTACAGCGAGGTTTTTTAGAGCGCAGCTCTTAGGCGCCCGTTTCCGGCTTGAGCGGCGTCGCCGTCGCCATCGCCGCCGGGGTAACAGTGGGGTCACGTGATATCACGTTACCTTAAGGGGGCCACGTGACCTAAGGTTAGGTCACGTGACCTAAGGTTAGGTCACGTGACCTGAGGGGGGTCGCCTAAACTCAGGGGGGGTCCCATGACCTCACGGGAGTCACGTGACCTCAAGGGGGCCACGAGAGGCCATATGTCCCCCGTGGCGGAGTAGCAGGCAGAATGACGAGGTGAGGACGAAAGAAGAAGGGTATACCCTCCCCTCAGTACTCTTCAATCTTCCTCCTCAAGAGCTGAGCTCCAATTCGGTGTTACAGGGCTTTATGTTTCTGATTCACCCACCACTAAATGGCATCGAACAAATGGAAAGACGTGAACATAAGCAGGAGAGCGAGGTACACGTTTTGTCCTCCTCTCCTTAACGCACACATACGCGGGTTGCGCCAGGAGGCACCCACTGAGTGCGTCGCAGTCTCCAGAACGCCTCTCAAGAGGAAGGAGCGGACTTCACGAGGCGATAGCCTAAGAGAAGCGGCGATGCGCTGAGTATATGTAAGCTCATGCTCGACGTGCCGAAGGGGCAGTACAACGTAGAACAAGAAGACAACACCGGCGCACTACGTCATTGTGGATCACCGAGCCGCCCTAGGTGGCAAATACGCTTATACCCTCTACGCGAATCACCTCAGGGCGCCAGATGGACCCATCTTAGGGCGTCGTCGAGTGCTAGGATCACGCTGCTTGTGAGATACTGCAAGAGGCGATGGCGGTGATGCTGACTCGATATAAGCGGCACTGTGTGGGGCCACTAGTAATGACGTATGAGGGGATAGATACAGGCCTCGTCATCTAGATCGTATTGCAAAGAAATACTGCCTGAGAATGAGAGAGGGATGTTGGAACAGGGAGAGAACCAAGGAGTCCTCGTCCTACTACGACCGAAATTTGTGCGATAAAACGAGGCGCCGACAATGTATACATTTTAAGACTTAATTTTCTTGTAATTATTTTTTCTTTACATTTCAGCGAGAATACCACAGTACAAGTGAGAGCTCTAAGTCAAACTGGCTACCCGCTAGAAAACGTTATACGGGCAAGCTTCAATGGTATGTAACACTCGGAGGGAGGGGGGACACGGCTTGGGAGGGTCAACTTTTTAACCCTTTGTCCAAATTCATTCCAATATCTAGGGCGATTTAAGCCCCCTATTAGGAATGACTAAATCTAAAGCTTCATCCTTATAGACCCATTCTACAGTATCCTGCGTTTCCTAAGTTCCAAAAAAAGTGACTTCATTAGGAATGGTTTTTAAACAATTATAATTTCATTCCAAAAATGTTGTGTTTTAATGTGAAGTCGAATGCCCATAGGGCAAGTTAAGCTTGATATTGAGAAAAGGCAATTCTATAGAAAATAGAATTACACCCGAAAATAACAAAAAATATTGCACAAATATCTTTTTTCTGTTTTAGACTTAAGTTTTTATGATAAAAACGTAAGTTTTTTTGTTTCTTTTTAAATTTTTTATGAGTAATTTAACTTTTTCTTAAAGACATTTCAGTTCAAGTCACCCCTGAATGACGTTTTTAGGATACCAGAACGTTAAGCGATACATTTTCTCATACAAAAGTTCCTGCCAAATAGGAAATCTGAGGAGGAAGCATATGTTGTTTCAATCTAAAGTTTTTCTATTTTCTATGAGTGCCAAGCCTGCAAAATTCACCTGGAGAATAGGTAATACCTTCCGCTTTGAGACTTTCTTTATCTCTTTAGCATTAAATACAGCTTGCGTCGTTTGTGAGCAGAATATCTCTGGTACCACGCAATCCTCGACAGATAAACTGCCGACAACTAAGACGCAAACGATACTAAAGGAAGGCAGCAGAGTAGCAGCCTGATTTGAAGGGTAAGGTTGTGTCAAGAGGGCACTGCTGAAAATAATACAATACCACGTCACCGGGCAGGACCAATCGTAAGCCCTGTTTTGGGTCTCAACCAGTAACATTGTCCGGTGCCACTGAAGTAGTTTATAAAATACATTTCAGTTGTGGTAGGGTGTATATAGCTCAAACCGAATGCTGTCTTAATGACAGATTTCGAGAACACGCGGCCTCAATTCTCAATGAAGTTTGGTTCACAGCTGCCAATTCATGGCAAAGTTTGCGGATGTTCACCCCTTTTTAACGGCGTGCATGTGATGGGCTGTAGTAAAGGAAGTTTGCCAAAGGAGATGCTAGAAGCGGCTCTGATACACCATTGTGAACGAGGCTCGTGTATTAAATCGCATCCTTTCATTTGATAAAATAAGAGTACGATTGTATCGGTCGGGTTTAGGCCCTTTGTGTCCTTTTGTTGAGTAGGGCTACCAAAAATGTTTCCATATTGCTGTTTGTTTTTCATAAACTTTATGCGCCCTTCCCGTTACGTCGTGACGCTGTTTATTCTCTACTGCACGTGCATGAATCATGACAGTATTTCTATTGCCGACTTTATTTATGGAGGCAACTTCGACGGTTTTTTTTTGTATGGACGCTGGGTAGTTTTTCCTCTTCAAGATAGCTGTGATATCCGTGCGATACGTTTGCTCGGTGCAATTTTTCAATAAACCTTTTAGTTGCAAGTTAGCGCTCGTTGTTGCGACTACCTTCCTGGCTCCGTCCTGGAGTTGGCCTTCACCTGTCGTCAACGGCAGCAAAGCTTCTAATAGAGTTCGACTCGGCACGGGCCAACGACGCTAGGCAGAATCACGCTCAGATCCCCGAAACCAGCCCTTAAGACACCGGGCCGTTGGTGGCCCTCGTTGAGGGCTCTAAACACAAAAAGAAAGTCTTCCGGAAGCCCCGAGATGATCTGGGAACACCAGCACTTGAGAGAAGAAACGCCGGTGTACGTGTGTATGTCTGTGTGTGTGTATGTCTATGTGTGTGTTTGTGTGGAACTATCGGCGTTGTGTTTTAGTTCAACGGCAAAAGCGTGGACACCTTGGATCAGACACCGGAGCATGGCAAGAGCGGTTACGGCATGCTTCATCTGTCCCTCGCTGAAAGAACACAGGGCAATTGCATCAGCCGCCCCTGCGATTCGAACACCACGTGAACACTCGAACTCCGGGGAGGCTCCTCTCGCTCAGCAGGCCTTCCCCCCATTCCAGTTTCCTCAAATGTCCTTTGTTTCGTTTTCTCCTCATTCGTGACAATATTGTTCTTCGCTGGCTATAGCAGGGAGTTCGTGTCGTCGGTCATCCATCGTTTGCTGACAAATTCTGACTTATCGAAATACGTCCGAGTAGAGAAACGTAGGGTTGTTTGTCCTATTTCCATGTCTCCCATAACCTAAGGCACTAGCCGGGAAGTTTTGTGGACAGCTGTTTTTAAACCAGATTTTCGGCTCGACCAGCTTGCACCTTTTTGGTCGCAGAAGGCAGGTTCTAAAAAAAATCGGAGACCCTACGGTGGATTGCGACCTAGGTGTAATGTCCAATATTCCTGTGAAGTGTGGTTCTTGCAATGTGGGTCAGAAGGCTAGGTGTCTTAATCACAACTTAGTTGAGCACAAACGAACGGTGAAAAACAAATCTAAAGGTTCAGAATAAGCGAATCATTTTTCTTCTGAAGCAATTGTGTCGTTGTTTGGAAAAATACTGAAGTGCTCCACAGAGAAAGGGACAGTTACAAACGTTCAGTGAAATAGTCATTGATGACTGATGGGCACGCTTGTTGTTTTAGCGACATGTTCGTTTCTCTAGACAACTGCATGAAAGCATCTCTTAATTACAGCCGTTTCATTCTGGTTTTATTGGTAGTTGGTTGTACTCATTCCTCTTCTTGCTTGGTGATCATTGGGTTATTAACCTTGACTATGTCCTCAGTTTCTGTCCGTCGCACGGTGCAATCTATTATCTCTTTGTTGCGGAAATTGGTTTGGAGGTTGATGTGTGCCCTGTTTGGATACGTGTATTCTGGTTAGTTACCCGGACGTCACCGCTGTCCTCCATGTCTTCTTTTGGTATGTTTGGTTTTCTTTCTCTTGGTTGGGAATTTATGCTTGTCTTTCGTAAAATAAACTTCAGCTGTGTTTGGAGATTCGTGATGTCTTTTTTTCTGTTTCCCAACTCTCTAGGGTTAAACATGGCAGCTCTTAAGCAGCTCGCTGGCACCCTTGCATTAAAACGTGTTCAGATTCGCTCTATTTGAATCTAAATACGCTATGTCATTTTGTTCTACACTGGTGAACAGCTGCAGCGAGGAAGCTTTAGCGGGTTTCTTTCAACATCTTTGTACTTGCTTCATTTACTACACTGCGGTTATATGTTAGCCTGTTTCAGAAAATCGTCTCATGAGTCAAATTTTTGAAAGTGGCAACTGTTTGCTTCAATCCCAAGAGTGCTGACCAGGAGGCTCCCCAATAATAATGTTTGTTGTCATTTCAGTCAAGCCAAGCTTGACTGATCTATGAATCTAGTAATAAGTCAAGCGTTCTCACCTACAGGTGCTTCCGCAGATTTAAAGTGTTCGGTGGTGGTGCTCAAAAGTGAAATGTCGGAAATTAAATATAACTATGCCAAGTTACAAGTTGTAACCAAGTTACGGTTATAGTTACAACGATTTTATTTTAGCTTATTTAGTTTAAAAAATTGTTACTAATTACAGTAACATACATAGTACTTAGTTACTTTGCGGCTTTGCTTCACTATCAGGTCAGTATTAGTGTGCAGACTGGAAAGCTTTTAGCTGCGTAATCGCGTCTAAACTTTTTTGAAAGTCCAATACCATGTTTTTGTACCCCAAAACCAGGAACACTCCCAAGTGCTACTCCAGTTCCCCCAGGAAGCTACACGTACGTTGAGTACGATAACTCCACCTGCTATTGCAGAAGTACTCCCTTTCCTGATAGGGGTAAGTTAGGTTTTATGCTCGACAAACGTGGAGCATTTTTGTTTTTGTGGTATTTACAAGTTTCATTGCAAAAATGATTTTCCTACGCAGGTGTTGCTTCGAAGCCTCAGCGGAGCACTGATTTAACCGAAAATCTCCTAAACGAACACTTCCCTTCTCCGGAAAATTCTCACTATATGGACATGTATGTGGTATACAGCGAGCCGCAATGTTACATTCTCAGGAGTCCCGCAGCCCGGGGAGGTAAGGGCATTAAAACTTCAGCAAGGTTAATGTAACACTGTCTTGAATTCCGCTAATTTAAGTGGTAAGGAAAGCAGTACAGTTTGCTTTATAGCGGAAGAAGAAACAGGCAAATCAAAGCTGCCTAACGCACGAATCTAGAATAAAACAAGCTGTATAAAAGGCGTACTTTGACTGATTTAGTTTGCGTTGATTTTATTTATATTTGCGCGTAGACACGTACTACATGTGTAGGATAAACCATACGTTATGTGGCATGTTCAGCTTACTGAGGTCGTGCTCTAAACTCGCCAGTAATCGTCGGTGCCTCGAATGCTTATATCCATTGGTACGTCCATGAAAACAGGGGCACTCTTGGCACCAAAGTTTTGTTCCAACTAAAAAGGAGTGTTCCAAACAGTGCCCAGTGTCATGCCCAATCAACATTTGTTGAATTCTGGACGAAGAAGGTAACTTCACAGGACCGCAATGAAATGTCTTACGCTGCTAGTATCGTGTGTTTTTTTTTCTCAATACATTAAGAAATTTAGTGAAACGTACTTTAACGCAATTTGATGCTAAGTTGAAGACTTGCAAGTAAAAAAGGCCTCTCCGAATTATCTACATTTGACTGATAATGAAAGGCAGGCACTAGTGCAGAAAAACTTAATAGATGTTTTATGCATCGCCTCTGTCAATAAACACCTAAAACTGAAAATCCCGCGTAGGCGATAACATGGAGATTTATTTGATAAAGAAACACCATTGGCGATCGTAGCCTCCCGGCGATCGAAAAATCTGCATCTATACACGGTCTCACCATATCTTGGGAAACGGCGAAGGCTACGGTCCGAGTGAACCAATCAGTGCGTCGAAGCTAGAACGTTTGTTTACCAGTTGCTAGTCCTAGTTGCGCGCAGTGCTGTCAATGCCATGAGCAGGAGAGAGAAAAAAAACCGCTTCTGAACAAAATATGAGTGACGGGCTAATTTCCCATGGCGACAACTCTGACGTCTGGGACACAAGAGGGTTCAACTTAAGGAGGCAGTTCCTCGTTCCCCTCTTCCGCTCTCGCCCCCGTGTCTTTTTTTAAAGGCCGACGTGCACTTCGCGCTTTCCACTTTTTATAGCTGCCTTCTTTCCCGTATCCAGTTCATCTTTGCAACATGTCCCAACATGGCACCCCTCGCAGTTTTCGAAGGTATGACGCTAAGAGGATCAATTTCCCTGCAGGGAACCAAGGCTGTACGTCGGCCTTTAAGGGCTGCCTATCTTCACAGCCATCACTCTGATTGGTTCGAAGGTGCCGTAGTTTTCGCTCTGCGACAAGCCAAGTTGAAACAATGTATACTACAGTCTGTTGCTGGGATTCGCTGATGACAATCATCCACGTTTCGCACCGCCAGGCTTACACCCGTTGCACAGGTGGTGACTTTAGCGAACCCCCGCACTTCAATTGTGTAATATGTCCATCTAAAATTTTATAGTTCAGTAGTTTTCGATGACGCTCTGCAGGTTTCTAATTTGAAACATACTTTCATTATCACCAACTATAAAGCTACCTAACAAGTCTTAGTTGATTGTATGACTTGTCGTTACGTTTAGCCCATTATAATATGAGCCCCATAGTTTTAGAACTCATTCCCACAGAAAGCATTAATGCACCTTTCGCGATTTTTTTTTTTTTTTTTGCTTTACATATGATTGTTCGAGTTAAAATCAAGCATCATGTGTACTGACCGCATTCTTAAAACTGTTTGAGAGCGTGGTAGAAGTGCACCTTTCTAGTTATTTCATATAAATATTAAATGAATCGCAACACGGTTTTCTTGAGCCTAAAACATTCGAAACTAAAAGTATTTTAGTTTGTTGCCAACCATGGGCAGGTCGACGCCATTTATTTTGAGTTAGGTAATGCATTTGACCAGGTGCCCTATGACGTTTTAGTGCACAAGCTATCGGAAAGTCGCGTTGGCCGGTAGGTTTGTAGTTTCAGTCATATCTTTACGGGTTATCGAGATGATATATATCATCTGGCGCTCCTCGGGGTCCTAATCTCGGACCCTTACTTGTTAACATTTTTACCATTAATCACTCCCTTCGGGTAAAACATTCAAGGTTGCTTCAGTTCGCTGATGATATTAATATATTATAACGGATTCAATCACATGTTGATTGCGAGCTGCTGCAGGAGAACATATCTGCTATCTCTTAATGCGGGGTTTTACAGAAGTTACGTCTAAACAGTAAAAAAAAAACACTTTTTATCCCTTAAAGGGACACTGACAGGGTATTTATGCTCGCCGAGGTTTTTAGTTGTACGTGACATATGAGAGCGCAACTACCCAGAACAGAATTTGCGGCTCGAAATTCGGTTTCTTTCCGCCCGAAAACCGCCGATCAAGAACTGGCCGGTTCGAGTCTCGCTCACTCTCTTTTCCGCGGTCACGGGCCGTTTTCCAAGGTATCGATGCGACCACCAAATTTAATCAAAGTCGTGGGTCGCTGAAAGCACACACTCAATATTAAAAATAGAAAAAAATATAAAACCCATTTTTTGTGGCTTCTAAAAAGCTGCAAATACGTTGATTGAAAAAAAAGTTCCACAGACAACCGGAAGCATTCTGTGCGTGCGTCGTTTCGCGTATCGTGGGACTCGCAGGGACGGCGATGGCAGCGGACGACGGGCGTGGGACCTCTATTTCAGAACTGTCGTTCGCGGTACCGGCGAATTTCGTCTGCCTTTAAAAGAGAAATTTGGGACTGGTCAAAAGATTTGGTATTCATCCCGTACGACACGCCCGACCACCAAGCCGATTTGCACGAAGACGTCGCCGAGCCGTCGCTCCCTTCTTGTGGCTGAAGACATCGCTCGAGCAAACGTCGAGCGCGACATGTCTACTTCGAGTGGAATATGCACGCGTACGATCTCTTTGCTAGGTGAGAATGTCGCCAATGCGTGGTGCATCCCGACTTCGACCCGGGAATGCTTTTGCTAGAGGAAAATCTGCAGCGAACTTTCCAACTTACAGTTTATCGGCTGAATTACTACTAAGGAAAAAGATACCTCACTTTCGATATGCCCCAGTAGCTCAGTGGGAAAGACGTCCCCATCACACCCGGTAGTGCCGGGTTCAATCCCCCGTGGAACTTTTTTTTTTTTTTTTTTTTGATGTCTACATTTCTTTTTTTTTTTTTTTTACAATTATTACTGAAGAAACAAAAAAAAATAAGAAACAAATGTTGTGGACGACACGTCGCTGAATTAGATGGTATGGGATATCCTTTTTGACACCTCCGAACTCAATGTAATCACTTTCCACAAAATGCAAGGAGCATATAAATCAGGTAGCGTCCGCTTTCCGAGGTGCCCGTAAATGGTCTACAGGAATTGCAGCCAGCCATTGGTCCCGATCCCGTTGATCTTTCGGAAACTCTGTCGCACAATGCCACTTCTGTTTCGGACGCGGGACATGTGAGCCAGCTCTTCACGCAACATCTTGGGTGTATTCTTTTCGGAGCCGATCAAAATTCACCACGGGCACTCACTACTCATCTCCAACTCCTCAATGTACAAAACAACTCATCTTGGAGTAGAGAACAACGAGCGGAACATACATAACTGCAAAAGAATCCCACGGCGAGCAGTTCCCATACGCCGCCTGTCGTCTGCTACCAAGAAGGAGAAAAAAAAAAACACACGGTCGGGTGTAGCCACGTGACTTCCGCCACTCACTCTCTTCTCTCCACTTCTCCGACCTCCGTCGGGTTTCGGTTTCGGTTTCGAGCAGTTGCGTCTTTTGGATTTATTAAAAAAATACGCTACTTTGTTGCAAAATATTAATTGGGTAGTCCTCCGACACCATAATGAAGCGCCTGGCAAAAAATTAAAAAAAAAATTTGGGGGGTGTCAGTGTCCCTTTAATAACAAAATAATCGTGCGCCTTTTTATTTATTTATTTTTTTATAAACTAGACAATGAACCACTGCGACGGGAATATTTACTTCACTTACGGGTTTATATTGATTAATTTCTTAATGTGTCTTAAATTTAGTTAGTTCTTGCCTGCGACTTTTGGCTTTGTTTTCGGGTATAAAAGGCTGCCCAAACAGGACACTTCCACGACGCAAGAAACGACACTTCTCCGCCGTATGAAATGCGGCAATCTGCATCCGCCTGTTCCCTTGTTTGTTTGTTTCTTTTTTTTGCCGAGAGTAAAGTTTGTTTTTTGCTACTGTCCGCTTCTCTTCTTGACGGAGGCATAGTGCATGCTAATCATGCGAGTTCGGACAGTCACTCACACGCTCTGTTGGCTGTCAGTCAATCGCTCAAGGCCTCCGCTGCTGTTAAGCCTTATCCCGAAAACAGGAAAGGGAAGGTTACGAGGGCGCAGAAGAAGGAGATGGACAGGCGCCGACGTCACAGGAAAGCGGATGAGGCGAGGACGAAAGCCGTGATGGTTGCCTGGTGTACGTACAAACAGAAGACGGTCCAACTTCCACTTCATATGGCGGAGGAGTGTTGCTTCCCTATGTTCTGAAGTATCCTGTTTGGACAGCCCTTAACCCGTCATTTTAAAGAGCTTTCATGTGTCGTCAGGCTTTACACCCCTATTATGCGTTCGTAACTATAGTTCGGCACTGTAGTTTGGAACTGTCCGGTGGCGAAACTCCTCCCAACGACCACCGGTCCTTCTTTTAGCTACGAGTGAATGTTACTCCGGCTAAGCTTGCAAACATTGGCGCCGGAGTTTTGCGAGATTATGCATTTTTGTAGAAAACTGTGCACAGCACAGTTTTCTACACGTTGCCTTAGACTTGTTTCACTGTTGCTTATATATGTCCCTCGCACGAATTGTCGTCTCCACAACACGCTCTATACATCCAAGACATATGTACATTTTCCCCATTTTACGAACTCAGAGCAATTATAATGCAATGAGTGCGGTGGTTGACATTTTTGGAAGTGAGATGGACTTCAAAAGTGTACTTACCTTCCACATTTACTAACGCCAGTGTTCGGATTTTCTGTGTTTTGTTATTTTGAGCGTTTTTTTTTCATGTAGGTGTATGTGCCTGTAGGGGTGTGCACCACTAGTATATGGCATAGGTTATGTCTAGACACAATACAAATAAATCTTTAAAAAAAAAACGCGAAAACATAATGTTTTCAAAAACTATACATATATAATTAAGAAACGCTTTGTCAGAATAGTCAGCTGAGCTCTAATTATAAAATAAAATTATTCAATGCCTATTCTTGCCTCTCACCTTCAAGAAAAAATTGATACCCATTCAATATTAATTTCATTTTTTTTTTCTTGTGTGCTGAAACAACACGATTCTGTGGTTTAAAAACATTAAAAAAAAACTTTACTTATCTAAGGCTTGTTCACCTTTGTAACGATTAGTGTTACGACGCGATTAGGGAAAGCAAAAACAACGCGCCAAAAACAGAGCCAAGCAGACGGAGTAGTACTCAGGACACGAGTTGACTGACAGCTGAAATTTTTATTTTACATTATTTACTTTTACCAGCTCCTCTGCGCTGCCACTGACTTTCGCTTTCATTTGGAGTTGCTTCCTTTCGCACGTTTCAGTACTTTCTTAGTCGCCAAAAGCTGTCCTTAGAATTTTCACAATTAATTGCTGTCTCTCTTTGTTTTCATAGGATGCGATTTGTGGCTGAGAAAAACCGAGTTGAAAAGTATAGTGGATGGCCTGAAGGATGATATTTTAAAAAAAGAAGAGGAACTAATCAAGGAGATTAAGGAACAGCTTGGAATCACTGAAAACTGTACTGCGACAGATAATCAAAAACGAAATCTAGAAACATGGGTAGCAGAGGACATTGAAAAATGGTTTCAAGATGTCGTATTGAAACGGATTTCTCCCGATTGCGCTCTCGCCTTCATGATAACTTGTGGAAAGCCGTTTTATAGAGTTTACAATCCGGTAACGTGTAATACCACATTAACAGGGCAATACGAGTCAATTTCTCATAATTATCATTCGTGATCTTCAACTGCACGTCGGGTGGTGAGCGATCATCCATTTGTATGCAAACTTGAGATTAAAAAAGAAAAAATTCCACTGTGTCGTGTCTTAATTGCATTTCTAGAAATATAATGAGTTTAGGAAACCACCGATTTCATTTAGTTCTGACAGCAAAGGAAACAAAAAGACACACAGGGTATTTTAGCTAACTTGCGCCGAGACTTTAAAAAAGCATGGTGTGCGCTACGCGTTTCAAACAGGCCCAGTATTGTTCAATTGACCAAGTCAAGTTATTTTTATGCAATGGGCCAACTTGGCTAATTAACTCAGAATTATTAGCTAACTTTTTAAATGTTTTGCGCACCTCCCTCTAATACAAACGTAGTGTTGAAAAACATCCGATCGTGTCGTTTTCAGGAAGGTAGCGTTTTCATGTCTAATGTTTTAAAACATTAAAAAAAACATAGGTATGTGTCCGCCTTCTTTGGATCCCGACTGGTATGCGCTGAGGCCTTCCTAGTCTAGGAGGTGCTCGGTCAGGGGTCTCCAAACGTGACCCGCGGCCAAGATCCATCTTGCGGAGGAGTTCCGGCTTCGCGCCTGCAGGAGGCAACAGTCTTTACAGTGACGCCCGGCCCGCAGTCTACTACTATTAACGTAAAAATAGGGGAGCGTAAAAAAAAAGATATGAAAGAAACGGTGCCGTGACGCGTACTAAAGGCGCAAGCGAGAATATAAAGCAATGAGGGTAATCTGCGTCAAAATGGGTGCTCGTTCGCCATATCATTTATAATACATTGTGATCACCAGCAATTCTTCTTTGTCGTCCCCTGATTAAAGTCTGTGAAACTTTGTTAGAATTATTTTGCATTCTTACGTGTATCGTTCTTACTATCTCTTATTGTGTATTTTTATTATAAGTTTTACCATTTTCCTCGGCCTTTACCCTCTGGGATTATGAAAAAGTTCTTATGCGTTTTGATTTATGCCTGGAGAATTTGTTTAACAATTACCTTGAAATGTCGTAACTATACTTCATTTCAGCTTCGGTCCGAGCGCGGCCGATGTTATGAGCCGAAGGGCCAATCAAACAGCGAAAGAGGCACAACGTCATGGCGTGCTCTCTGCAGTTGATTGGACCAGCCGGTATTCGCTGTCTCTCTGTGCACTGCTCCTCCGCCGGCTAGTACTGTCAAGCGCAGAGAGAACGCCATGATGCGCCGCTTTTTGCGCTGTTTGATTGGCCCTTCGGCTTATAACATCGGCCGCGCTCGGACCGAAGCTGAAACGAAGTATAGAAACACATCGAACTTAAAGTTATGCATGTATATGTACTAGGCGTTATCTTTTTTTTTTCTGGTTCATGTGATGGTATTGAAATAGTTATTTATATTTAATTATTTTTATTGACTTATTTATATCCCCCCTTTCCTTCTTCCACTCCACCCCTCCCCCCGAGATAGCAACATATTTCAAGTCTGACCCCTGAGCCGAAACATTTGGAGACTCCTACAGAGGACGTAGATTTAAGAGAGGGAGCCACTCAAGCCACAAGGAGCTTGCTAACATAACGCTAGAGCACGATCGTAATGACTGCTAAAACATCATCACTGCACTTAACTGGTTGCTGATGGTTCAATTGTTTAAACGGCTCATGCTCCTTCGAGGATTAAAATGACGCTCCCAATCATGCAACCGAACCTGAACAGTTGTAGACGGACGAGATGTCGTTACTGGCGCCCGAGAGGCGACACAGCAACTCTTGCGACCATGCTAAATTACAGGCACGGGTCATTAACCACAAGGCAAGGACAAAGGCACGCCACCCGCCGTTCTTGAAAGCAGGTATTCACGCTCCAGAGGCGAGCGCGCTCATGTTCCTGTCGCACAGAGGGTCGGAAGCTGACAGTGGCGTCGGAACAGGGGGGGCAGGGGGGGCAACCGCCCCCCCAGAGATTTTTTAGTAATGGCGGCTCGCGAGCTCGATATTTCGCAAATTTCTCAGAGTGCGATTTTTAAGATATTTCGCGGGCATGAATTTCTCGCATTACGAGTGGCATGATGACATTCATCATCATGAGATTAGTTATTCGAGGGCTCAATTATTTGCGGTTATTTTAAAACCAGAAATAAGCAGGAGTTTCTCCATTTCTGAAGCCGAATAAAGCAGTCGATACGCGCCTTTGCGGTCCTCCAAGAAGGAAGCGGTCCTCCAAGAAGGATGCGGTCCTCCAAGAAGGTTCGAACACAGCAGCGAGCCCTGTCAACCAGCGTTTCTAGACGCGGAGACAGGCCTTCGGAAGCAGTTCTGCGAAGCGTTAGATTGTGTTCGCGCCGAGCTTGCAAGACGATTCAAGCAACCAGGCATGCAAAGTCTCGCACAACTAGAGCAAATAAATTTGTGCGCTATTCAAGAGAAGCCACAAACTGCAGAAGAACTTGAAAGGAAGTTAGGATCCCACGCTACTGATTTTCACCTGGAAAGCCTTTCAAGGCAGCTGAACATGGTTCACTCGCTCTCAAGCGGTCAGATCGGCTCCGCACCCGAGTTGTGCCGTAATCTGGGCAGACAAGTCCCAGAGGTCAAGAGGATGATGACTGAGGTGATGCGCCTTGCGGCACTTATAATGACAGTGCCAGCGTCAGCGGCATCAGCTGAACGAAGTTTCAGCGCACTTCGGCGCATCAAGAATTACCTCAGAGCTACCATGTCACAAAAGCGACTGACTCAGGTGATGCTGCTGCACGTAAATAGTGAGCGAGCAGCAAAACTTGATCTGAACTCTATCATCAGAGAGTTCGTGTTGAGGACGGCTGAACGACGAACCGTTTTCGGGCACCAGTGAGCTCTTTCTTATTTCACGCTGTTTGAAGACGTCAACATGGGAGAAAAACAAGATCACCACATTCCAAAAGAGGAAGGACATATATTTGTTCTAAATAAACATTTGTGAGCGTTTCGATTTTATATATCCATATTGTTCTAGATGCTTAATCCCCCCCCCCCAACCCCACCCCACCCCACCCCAATTCCGTTGCCCCCCCACCTCAGAAATACTTCCGACGCCACTGGAAGCTGATCATTACCTTAAAGTCGGAATTACATGTTTATACACATGCAAAAAACAGTATGCAGACATTGGTAACCGGCATATCTGTGGTTCGAATGCCGCGTGTCTAATTTCTTCTTGACCTCGTTGCCATGCTGCATTCGAAGTACTGATCTCGTGGTGACTTGTGTTGGAATCTATATATGATCTATAATCAGTGTGACCCCGGCTTAAGAGTCTCGTTCGTAAGTGCCTGAACTGCGTTTCTCCTTACGATGGGCCGTAGCGGACGCTACAGCTATTCCGACAACATATCGCTGTGAATGCACCACGTGATACATAAACAAAGTTAGTGGAACGGAATGAAGCGGTTCAGCCATTCCAGGAGTGGGAATAGGCCCAGCATGTCCGTTCCCAGGTGCTGAAAGGATTTGAAGTAGCGGAAACTAATATTCCGGAATAAAGTTGGAATGGAATGGGAGTGCTCACTGCGCAACACTGCTTCCTTCAACCCCCTGTCCTACCCCTACTCAGCAAGACTCGCAGCCGGCGGAGTCGCAATCCATTACCTTAAAAAAGGTGTTTTATGCCACAACATTTCTTGTCCAGATCTGTGCCCTCATTTCATTTCATTTATTGTATCCTTATATCGTCCTCAGGGGGCTTTATATAAGGGGGGACATACAGCAATATATATTCAAATCCAGAAAGAAAACACACACAAACACACTTACAACAAACAACAGTTTAGTTTAATTACGTGTAAGGAGCGGCAAGTGCGGCTTGAAACGGTGCTGGGCTCTTCTATTGTTACAATGTTGATAAGTAGAGGAAGCGCACAATAAAGACGAATACGAAGACTGAGAGGCAAACAGGACGACCGCTGACTACCAACTGAATTTTAGGGGCGAAGCTCCTTAGGGTCTAGCCTTGTCCGTCCGTCCGGCCGCCGTCCGTGCTCACATAAAAAGAAGAAAAAAATGTTTGCGCAGCCGACAGGATTCGAACCTGTGCGGGGATGCCCTAATGAATTTCTAGTCCATCGCCTTAACCACTCGGCCACGACTGCTTTTTTTTTTTTTTTTTCTTTATTGCCGTTTTTTGCAAGTCAATATATACAAGTCTGAGGACAAAAACAGCAAAATTGGCAGTGCTAAAAAACTACCAGCCGGCCTTTCGGCTAGTAGTATAAGTTAAAATCTTTTTAAATTCCTAACTGCTTCCAGTTGTTGAATCCACTCTGGCATGCAGCTCTGAGCGTTGTACACTTCAACAATCGAGGCAATACCCTCGCTGAAATATTCCCGAGCCTCGCGCGCGTCAATGTCGGCATGGCGCGTAGGCATCCGTGACCTCCAAATACTATGCAGGCCCAGTAACATTATCATGTCGAAGGGCACACCGTCATTGTTTTCAAAGGGTAGGTATCTAATACAATGCATGTCTAACGGAAAATCTTTTTTGAGGGTGCGTTGGAGGACGTCCCAGAAAAAGACACCATCCCAGCACTCTATGAATACATGCTCAATTGTCTCGGGCTTTTGACACAAAAAACAGTGGTCGCCCCACGGGACGAACATTCCCTTTTCTTTCATCAAAGTCTTTACAGTTAAGGTGCCGGTGTGTAATTTGAAAAAGAGTGACTTAACCCCATGCGGAACGAGCATTCTCTTAACACGCTTTAAGACATCTTGTCATGGGCCTGCACAATACTACGCTCTATACAAAGGTACGGGAAAGACAACGTCAGAAAGATCCCTATACAGCTTTTTTCTGGATACTTTGCTCAAATATTCAAAAGAAAACCTGGCTGCCAAAAAATTACATGACGCGACAACTTCCTTGAGATATCCGTGGATGCCGCCTGGCACACATGCCGAAGAAACAATAAACTCAGGCAGAGTTCTACACAGTCTCACCTGGTAGACGGTTCGTAAAAACGGGTCACTAACATCTCGAAGATAAATAAAA